CGGCCTCCTCCCGCCGCCATCTTCCTCGGCTCAGGCGGCCGGAACCGCCACCCGCCGACCGGAGCTGCTCGCCGCCGCCGTCGTCCTCCGGCGTCGACGCCGGCCGACCCCGCCGCCGCACCGCGCCACCACGCCGCCGCCAGCCACCGCCGTGGGCTTCGCCGCCCCCTGCCGCAGCCTCCTCCGCCGGACTCCATCGCCGGCGACCTCCTCGCCATCGTCGTCGAACCTCGGGCCGAGCGCCCAGCTATAGTACCCCCGGATCCAGATCTGGATCTCGGGTTGACTTTTTATCCCTAACCCTAATTTTTTTGCCTATGTTCATCGCATCGTATCTCCGCATCCGTAGCTCCGTTTTGTACATATGATATATCAAAATGTTCGTCTCGACATGTAAATCATTTCATTCCATTGCATCATTTTCATTTGAGTTCATCTTGATGCCCAAAATGCTTTTAGAAGGAGGCATCGTGAGTTAAATTGCAGATCCGTTAGTTCATCATAGACTTTTGTCATTTTTGCCATGATTATTGTGTGCATGATATGCCTGTGAGTCTTTGGGATGAATTGTTAAGCATTTTGTCTTCTTTCCAGAGGTGCCACCCATGCATTTTTAGGATGTGTGTGGTGACTTGTGCAAGCTTGCAAAGAGAGGCACCTGAGAATTCTGTTTTCAGGGACAGTGATTTTCACTAAGTCTGGGATGTTTTAGTTCATGATGCCATATGTTCGGCTTGTTTCCTAGTGATCCGTGCCTCTTTTAAGGATGATCAGTAAGGGTGTTTTGATATTCATGTTATGCTCTATCCATCCATGTCTTTACTTGCTATGTTGGAGCACCCTAGCTTGAGTAAATCGAGCTCTACTTTTGCATCGTTGTGTATTTGGGCAGATCGTCAACTCTTTTGCGATTTTGCCGATGCTATTGCTAGTGATCCGTGCATGCTATGCCATTGTTCTTGCCATGTCTAGCTAGCATTTTGTGCCTTCTTTATGGACATATGCTTGTCTTGCCATGACTTGCACCGTAGTGAGTGCATCGAGCTCGTTTACATGCCTTCGTGAGTTATAATTTCAGCATGTCTCAGTTTTCACCAAGTCTGAAAACTGATTGTGTTTCATCTATTTTCGTGTGCTCGTTAGAGTATTTTGTGAACCCTTTTGGCCCCAGGTCACTTTGGGTGTTTTGTTAAGCTTGTTGAGTAGCTCCATGCCATGTTCTTACTTGTCATGTTCAGGTTATGTATCATGTTGTTTTGCTGCTCCGAAGAGAGCATCGTGGTCTGAAATTTCAGACTAGTGTTAAATTCACTAAGTCTGAAATCTGTTTTGCATATTCGTTTTTGCCATGCTTGTTTGAACCTCATAATGGATGAATTTGGCTATGGCTCAGTGCTAGTGATTTGTTAATAATCTTGTGTGCATCCCTGCCATGTATTTTGTTTTCATGTTTGGTGGCTGTAGCATGTTCATTTCGTTGCATTTAGGAGCCTACTTGCTGTAAATCGCAGACCGGTTCATTTCGTAAAACGCTTGCCATTTCTAAACCGTAGCTCCGATTCCTATGATCTTTATATCGTTTTCAGGTGATTTCATCCCCTCTATCCAGTGGCACACTTGATTTTCCAAGTTGAGGTCAGGTTCATGCATTTCCTGTCACGTCTTGCATTTTGCATCCCGCATAGCATACCATCATTTGCATCTTATTGCTTGAGTTTGCACGTGGTTGATTGTATCCTTGTTGCTTGTTTGTGTTGTTGGGTAGAGCCGGGAGACGAGTTCGCTAACGAGGAGCCCGTTGAGTTTGCTTTTGAGGATCCAGTCAACTCTGACAACTGTGCAGGCAAGATGATCATACCCTCGAAATCACTACTATCTTTGCTATGCTAGTTTGCTCGCTCTTTTGCTTTGCCAATGCTACAATGCCTACCACTTGCTTGTCAGCCTCCCAATTGCCATGATTGAGCCTCTAACCCACCATGTCCTAGCAAACCGTTGATTGGCTATGTTACCGCTTTGCTCAGCCCCCTTCTTACAGCGTTGTTAGTTGCAGGTGAAGATTGGAGCCGTTCCTTGTTGGAACATTTATTTACTTGTTGGGATATCATTATATTGCCATGTTATCTTAATGCATCTATATACTTGGTAAAGGGTGGAAGGCTCGGCCTCTCGCCTAGTGTTTTGTTCCACTCTTGCCGCCCTAGTTTCCGTCATATCGGTGTTATGTTCCCGGATTGTTGCGTGTCCCTTACGCGGTTGGGCTATAATGGGAACCCCTTGATAGTTCGCCTTGATTAACAATCTGATTGTGCCCTGAGAACGAGATATGTGCAGCTCCTATCGGGATTTGTCGGCACATTCGGGCGGTGTTGCTGGTTTTGTTTTAACCTGTCGAATCGTCTTGTTGTACCGAGATACCGAGTCTGATCGGTGTGTCTTGGGTGGAGGTCTATTCCTTCGTTGACCGTGAGAGCTTGTTATGGGCTAAGTTGGGACCCCCCTGCAGTGATTGATCTTTCGAAAGCTGTGCCCGCGGTTATGGGCAGATGAGAATTTGTTAATGTCCGGTTGTAGACAACTTAAACCTTAATTAATTAAAATGAATCAACTGAGTGTGTTGCCGTGATGGCCTCTTCTCGGCGGAGTCCGGGAAGTGGACACGGTGTTGGAGTTATGTTTGCGCAGGTTGCTCCCTAGTCTTCCCGCTCGTGGCTTGCCTCCTCTTCTCGCTCTCTTTTGCGAATAAGTTAGCCACCATACATGCTAGTCGCTTGCTGCAGCTCCACTCACATTACCCCTTTCCTACCTATTAAGCTTAAATAGTCTTGACCGCGAGGGTGCGAGATTGCTGAGTCCCTGTGGCTCATAGATTACTATTACACCAGATGCAGGGATAGATGATACCGCTCCAGATGGCGCGCTCGAGCTCAAGTGGGAGTACGACGAGGACTCTCAGCGTTACTATGTGTCTTTTCCTGATGATCAGTAGTGGTGCCCAATCGGGGTAGATTCAGGGCCTTGTCGCATGTTGGGGGTCTTTTCTATTTTGGCGCCGTAGTCGGGCCATGAGTGATTTGTATGATGGATGTTATTTATGTACTTTGATGTGACGTGGCGAGTGTAAGCCAACTATGTTCCTCCCCTTTATATTATTTATGTACATGGGATGTGTGATGATTTCCTGACTTGCGACATTGCTTTCAATACGATTATGCCTCTAAGTCGTGCCTTGACACGTGGAAGATATAGCCGTATCGAGGGCGTTACAGTGTGCTCTTCAATGGAGGAGCACCAGAAGCAAAAGGTGAAGGGAGAGAGCAGCGGCTGCGCTGGTTGGTGAGGTAGGCGTAGTAGGAATGTCATATTTAAGAACTTGGGTGGCGGTGGTACGCGTAGTAAGAATAGATTCAAAAACTTCTTGGACGGTGGTGGTACGCATAGTAAGAACATATTTAAAAACTTCTTGGATGGTGGTGGTACGCGTAGTAGGAAGAATAAATTAAGAACTTCTTGGAAGGTGGTGGTGCGCGTAGCTCTCGTAGGAAAAACGGATTGAAGGACTTCTTGGAAGGTGGTGTGCTGCTAGGTTTAAGGCAAAGGCAAAGACAAAGGCAGAGGGAAATGAAAAGGGAAAGCAGAGCAGGGAACCAAACTGCAGATTATGACCGCGAGGAACTTCGCTTTTTATCAGTTATTATAATGCCAATGTTACGGCAGTTTGTTCAGTTGGTTCCTACTGTATCCTGTTGCCAATGCATTTCTTCCTCATAATGCACAACAATATGAGGCTCTGCAGCTTTTCACTGCCCTTGTCTATGTATTTTACTAACCAGCAGCTCATTTGTACCTTTTCTTGCGGCATTGACACTGACATTTAGATTAACCCCTTCCCCTTGCCTATTCGCTAGCTAAAGAGCCTACTTCTGACACTCTATTGCAAATTGATCTGGCAAGAATAATTAAAGGCAGCAGCAACAAAAGATTCTGTAGGTTCAAACAAGTTAAGCACTAGAGAGTACGGTTCTTAAATATAATATGTGCTAGTGTCGTTAGTTGTACATCACTACAAACTATGGTTCTTAATATAAAATATGTGATGTTCGCCAACATCTGCAAGATGCACTACTTTGCGGACCAAGTCGACACAAAACAAAGGGCAGATCGACCAAAAAAGGTGATATTCAGTAGAAAAGGTTGACTACTGAAAAACTCACTTCTGATGAGGTGGTTCTCCAAGCTCCCGTTTTTATGTTTTGAGTTTTGACAGACTCATGTTGCCACAGTCAGCACTCAGCACGTCCACTGTCGTCAACACTGACATTAAGAAACTATTAGTAGATGGCATCAGACAGTCTGACAACATCATACATGTATTTCGCACTTGCAGAAACAACACTAAAAAACTAAAATGTATCCTCTCTTCTTTTGCACCAAGAACGAACACCCATAGCTTGGTGAACTGGAAACATGCATAACAAGCTTGTTCTATCCTTACAACATCATCAAGTGAACCTAGGAACAGAGCACCGGGGAATTTGGCGACACATTACACTGAAACTAGGGAGTTCTCAGCATTCCGACAGTGTTAATTTACCCTTACAAAATAACATAATGGAAGAAAAAGGAGGATATAGAAGGCCTTCTTAACATCAGTTGCTAGACTGGTTTCACAAACTGAAGTTATACAGATCATCTCCAGCTTGATTTCGCAACAATTGCTAGCACCTTCGAGTGCCACGTCCGCCAATCAGGCCTCTTTGCTTCCAACAAACATGGCTGAGGTATAGGCACATAGGCTGGAAGCTTTGAGTAGCATGCCACGTAGTGGTAGAATTTTTCATAGACATGCTCATGATCTTGTTCAATGTCATCGAGTTCCTGAAGCTCCCCTGTGCTGATGGTGTATGAACAAAGCTTGTTCGCATGATAGTCAAAGAGGAACACGACGTCCCTCTCCAAGTCAATAGCAGCAATTTCATACGGGCAATTCCAGCACTGTTGAGCAGCGCCATAGTAAGCAAGGTCATCCCTTCCAAATGCATCACTCATACTAAGACGATACTTCACAGTCCATTTGTAAGGCCCAGAAACATCAAGACTCCAGATCCGAATTGCAAGCCCATCTGCTGCTGGCAATGCATAGTGCATGGCCCCCGGAGATTTGCCAAAGTAACCTCTGGTGTACAAACCGACCGGAAGGCCATTTGCAGGCTCAACAGAAGGGTCATGGGGCAACTTAATAGTTTGACGATTAGGCGGCATGCGAGAACTCATTGCCTCAAAGCCGTTCAACACCAAGATCCTCTTCACTGAGTTGTGTCGCATACTAAACAGATACAGTGAACCATCTATGAATAAGTGTGGGTATCCAACAACAGTGTGTATCCCGGAACTCCACCATGCATCATATACGAGCCACGTGGAAAGGTCAGACGAAAATACCTGAAGCCCACTCAAGAATGAAAAAGTATTCCGTTTAAAGTTGAAGACATAGAACTGTGGTGAACATGATGGGTTGAAAGCCAACATAGCTTCAAAAACAGCATGTTCTTGGTAAGGACGAGTATCAGGAAGCCTCGTCCACTCTCGTGTTGCCGTGTTGCACACAATGAAGTGGCAAGTAATTGTACGTCTGCTCCAATCCATGCTCCTACGCATGCAGAGCACTAGGCCATTGCAGCAATCCATAAGCTCGAGTTGCGGATGGTCTGGCAAGAAACTAAGTGCTCCATCAATTTTCTCAACGTTTCGGGGCTGGCTAAGAAGCTTGGTAGCCTTCTTATCGAAGTCTTGGTACTGGCAGAAAAGACCAGTGGGGATTTTCGGCAGCTTCTTGCGGTAGTTTGGATCAAAGGAGAAGGCAAGCCAGGGTTTGCAAACACATTTGAAGCGGCAAAAAGACTTCAGCGGCAGCCGGGAGAGGATTTCCACAATCAGGTCATCAGGTAGCACACTGACTTCCATATGGTCCATTTCTATTATATTATATGGCAGTAGTAGTTCACTGGAAGTGTCTGAAGTGGTAATATCAGAAACAGCTTTCTTTGAACTTGGAAAGAAAGAGACCTGTAATGGAATCAGGTAATTTGATCAAACAAATCAAATTTATAAGGGGAAGAAAAAGATAAATAGACATTTGACAAGCACACATGCAACTTAGGAAGAAAGACAACGCATTTGATGTCGCCGATTGACGTTAATTTTAGTAAGTGAAACTATGCTGTAGTAAGTAAGATCCTCCATCCGCTTGACTAAGCAAAGGTGCTAGGAGCGAAATTACGTACCTTAACTAATCGATGTAGCACCAGCAGGTGGACTCCCACTCAGTCCACTAGGGAAGTTGAACCAAGGCGTACCAAAGTGCAGGTAAGCAGTATGGATGGGTAGGTGAGGAGTGACTTGTGTGCTCCTCGATGAGGGAGCACCTGAAGCAGAAGGTGAAGGGAGGTGCGCATAGTAGGAACCACAGATTTAATGGTGGTGGTATGCTTAGTAGAAAGAACAGACTTAAGAACTTCTTGGGAGATGGTTGTACGCGTAGTTGGAAGAACAGATTTAAGAATTTGTTCAAAGGTGGCGGTGCACGCGTATTAGGAACAGATTTAAGAACTTGCAACGTGGTGGTAGGCTGGCACGGGGCAAAGGCAAATGAAAAGGGAAAGCATGGAAAGGCAAATGAAAAGGCAAAGGAAAAGCAGGGCATAGCTAACCAAACTGCAGATAATGACCATTAGTGAGGAACTTTCAACGAGGGTTCCCTTTTATCAGTTAACTAATGTGTGCAGAATAATCTATTGATACACACCCGCCCATGTATGAGATGGTTCCCTTTTTGACATGATAACTTATGGCAAATGGAGCACAGGTTGGATCCTTCAGGTGAAGGTGTCAGGTCTGGTTCCTACTCAGCCACTCGGGCGTTATTGTAGTTTGTTCAGTTGGTCTGTACTATATCCTGTTAATGTCTTTTTTCCGCTTAATAACATGCTGTTCATGCAGAACATTATATGAGGGTCTGCAGCTTTTCGTTACCCATGTCTATGAATTTTACTGACCAGTAGGTTTTTTGTATATATTTTTTCTCGCAACACTGACATCGGCATTTGGATGGAGTCCAGAAGAATGTCTTTCTCGCAAATGGAATCCAGATTTTTTTTTCATAACCAGCGCTACCAACAATTCAAAGGCTTGTCTACATGCATGCAACCAGGACGTAAGTGCAAATCAAATTAGAAGAGCTCGTTAATTCTCTCAAGAGAAATTCATGTTGGATGGATGACGGACCTAGTCGTATCCTGGGGAGGAGGCGCCATGACACGCTTGCTGCAGCTAGAGCTGTTTCCTGGGTGCGTGCTGCTTCGGGAGAACCAGATCACGACCTGCACCTTTGGATCACTACTTCAGCCACTACTAGCAATTAGCAGTTGGACACACACGTACTCCCTCCGTTCCAAAATTCTTGTATTAGATTTGTCTAAATACGAATGTATCAGGTCACATTTTAATATTAGATACATCCGTATCTAGACAAATCTAAGACAAGAATTTTAGGACGGAAAGAGTACATACAAACAGTCTGCACGCACTTGATTGTGTAACCTGCAGAAGTGTACACTACAAGAACAGAAGAGAGAAAAAAAGGGCATGCATGCACTAACGCTACCGCGAATCAAAGCTTATTTGCATGTAAAAGTGGTTGCCCGCCACAACGTGTAAAGTGCACCGCTCTGAAAGATCGATGTACCACAGAAGATCGTCCGCCAGATCAATGCTACTCCCTCCTTCCATCTATATAGGATCTAATGCGTTTTTCAAGATTAATTTTGACCAAATGTTAGAGCAATAATATATGACATGCAACTTACACAAAGCACATCATCAAATTCGTATGTGAAAGAAGCTTTCAATGATATAATTTTCACATTATGCATGTCATGTAGTATTAATTTTATCTAGTTAAAGGCGGTCTTGAAAAACGCATTAGGCCCTATATAGATGGAAGGAGGGAGTACATATTTATGCAAGTGAATGGAATGATATATCATGCATTGCTTCACTCTGGTAGGACTGATTGTTCCTTCAAGGTATCGACAAATGATGGATGATGTGCGGTGAGACGGGCTAGATCGAGTATAGGAGTGATAAATGCCTGATTGCCTCAATTGTGTCTTCTACATCTGAAGTGATGATTAATACTCGCTTCATTTTTATATACAAGACCACTATGGAATATACGTTTTGCATCTATACAAGGCCACCAACAATAATCGAGGCAAAATTAATGATAATTTCTCATACTAGCAACCTGTTTAATGGTTGCATGCATGCACATAATGACAGTCAGCTACTTCCTCCACTCAGTTTTCTTGCATGCATGTGGGGTATTAATGATCCTAGTAAACGAAAGAAAAACTGACTTTCAAAGCAGACATTAAATTTTACATTGGTACCTGTAATTTGAGTTTGTGGCCTTGTATATAAAAATGGAGGGAGTACTTCCAAGGAAACAACACCTTGATTAGAGTATGGGTCCTAGCTTCAAGACAAGTATAACATGGCAACTGTGGTCAACAAACTTCATTGATATGGGGGAGCTTCAAGATAAGCGGTCAATTCCTCAAGTTAATTAGATGATACCGCAAACATTGTTCCGAGAATGTCTTGCAATATATTTCAATGAGATTTGATTGTGTGAAGCATAAATATTTGTACTAAAAATAAGAGAACAAAAACTTAAAGTACATATGATTTATTGTCTTTGATTGTTATATAGTTGTAGATATTTCTTTAAATAGATTGGAAGTTCGCATTCATGTTTGCATGTTCTGTGAGTTTTTCTTTCACGCTGGTTACATGTTGAGGTGGCATGCATGCATGCTGGGAGCCTGAGAGGAACATTCTAGTGGGAGCTAATATTTATATATAAAAGATTCATAATAAGAGCATCTCTAGTAGTCCCTATCCCGCCCAAATTGCACAATTTAAAAACATGCTCCAGCAGAACCCTGTTCCCACGACCAAAAATGTTTGGGCACCAAATATTTCTCTTTAGATCATATTAGAGGCGCCCAATTCCGCTAATTACCATGGAAGGAAAGAACTTTGCTCTTCACAACTCGACTGCCATATTGACCCCAGCGTTACCACTAGCATCATCTTGCAGACAACTGGACGTCCATGCCATATTGTGCGACCAGTTGTCCGCTCTTCCCCATGAGATTGTTGCATGGTCCTCCAATGTGCAGGACAGCCTAACATACACGAGACGCTGTGCCTGCGCCATATGCCTCCCCTCCTCCCTGAGCCGCGGTAAATGCGCCGTATGCCACCCCTCCTCCTCATCAAGCTCGTGCAACTGGAGCTCCATGCATGGCTTCCATGGATGCATCATGGATGTCCATCTCTACTCTTTCCCCCACCAACTCGTCTGGGTTACAGTGGATGGAGGCATAGAGGGGGACGACGCCCCCCCTCCTCTCCCCCAAACTCAACAAAGCTCCGACAGTATTGGTTACAAATGAGCACAACACTAAATCAAATCAAACCAGCCAATTTGAATGTGCACAATCTATTTAAGTGTGCCCCTAAATTTACCACCTTCAAAAACTATTTGATTTTTATTTAGAGGTGAGTGCCACCAAATTGGCTTGGCCGCTAGATGTTCTTGATATAGCGAGTTGATGCGAGAAGAAAAATGACCTAATGACCCCTATTGACCATCATTTCAATTCTCCGGTCTCCTCTCTAACGAAAATTTGAACATAGAACCACCAAAAGCAGTCGATTCTTGATTTTCAACCCTCCAACTCCTTGAAATCCTTAAAACCCAGATTAGATTTGGAACACCATGCCGCATGTGCTTCTCTCCTCCAAGGCAATCCTCTAGGGATGCCCTCTCTGCTCTATGTTCTACCAGTACCGTGTGGACGCACACTTGGAACATGTTATGCTCGCAGCATCACCGAGGACCTCCAGCATGATCACGTCTATTTTGTGGTACTTGCAGCTATCTGGAAAAAGAAGTGGTGTTCGTTCGGTCGTCTGACCATTCTGACAATCCATTCGGTGAAATACTCCAAGCATTCGTCTGTGTGGACAATGCCCTTGTGATTCTCATCATTTCAATCCATACCTATGTTGCGAATCCTCCCTGAAACATTTTGGATTATCGTCATGGTGTCATCTGGCTTGCAAGGAATGTGCCCCCAGATGTTTTGGAATCATACCACCAAGATACAACCATATCTTGGAGTAGGTAAGTTTAGGATATAGTGAGACAATTGGCAATGCACCATATCCTTTTCTTCATACTTCAACCACACACAAAAGCTAGTTGTATAAAACTAGCATTCTATGACGAAAAATAAAAACTGAACAAGTTATTGTCATTGATGCCGGCATTAATCTGAATATGCGCAATTTATTATAAATAACAGTTACTCTATACAAACAACCATCACCCATGAACAATAGAGTTATGTCATTCAGCAATTTAGCGCACTTCGGGAGCAGTTAAGCAATATATTCAACTAGATACATAAACATGTTGTTCTCATGGTTGCCTCCCCATATTTTCACTGATTTTGTTGAGGAGTAACATCTATTTGAAGTTATTAAGTTTAATGGAGAGACAAGGCATAATATTCTCTTTAAACTAGAGGAGTTCGACGGCAATTCTAGTGAGGCCTTCCACTCTCTCGACGGTGACCGCTTGTATAGGTTTTAAGGTTGTCAAATTTATACTAAACATTTATACCTAGCTATATTAAATAACAGTTTTAGTTAAAATAATGTGGTAAGCTATAAATACACATTACATTATTAATGCAATATCTTTTCGATAAATTGTGTGCTAAGATATATTTGTACAAAATTACTTAGTTGTGAGAAACTAATTAAGGAAAGAAGATGAGAAACTAATTAAGTAAAGAAAAGATATTGCATGGCTTATCGGCTTAGATTGTTAAATTTGC